CCGTTTTATTCATGTATGGCTTTCAAATTCTTGCGGTTGAGGTGGGCAGTCTCTGGCTGTTAGTCGAATGTGCGAGGCGTGCGTGTGTTTGCGTTTTATCTTTGCTTGTGCTTACTCGAGACCCGTAAACTAATGTTTGGAAGCTCCACCAATGGGTCGACCTTAACTGGATATGTCGTGAGGAGCGGCACAACTACAACCGCATTTGGTTCAACAGTTGAGTTTCAATTATTTCCAGGTTTTCAGTTCTAGGGATTAAGCTCATTATGTATAGGGCTAAATTTCAGCTTCTCTAATTTCTGAAAGTGGATGACAAAGTTCACATATACACATATATACACACACACACATGGAAAAATTGCGAAAAGAAGCATTGTCAAGCCCCCGTATATGCACGTCTATCTGCATGTGTGTGCGTATGGATGGGTGTGTGTATGCCCGAATGCGTGTGTGTGCCTGAGTTCTATGTGGACGAGGAACATAATCTTAAAATTTCAGCTTTCTAGCTTTTCTGGTTCCCGAGTTAGCGGTTTTTGTGCCAAAAATTCAAAACTCTAGTACGCGGAGTCCAGACCTGCGTGAGGATTGGAGCCGCGGTCTTGGGGCGCCACTTGGCCGGGGAACCCAACAGCAAAATTTTGGCGCCGAAGAATACTCGGACAAACGGATACACAAACACACACATATATATACACACACTGGGTTTGTCACAATATGCCTTTTTGCATTTGTATATAAGCAAAAAAGCATTAAAAAAACCAGTACTACTGCAGTTTTTGTTGTATGAGGAAAACATACCGGCACAACAAAACCGCAAACCATTAGGCTTGAACCTTTAGTAATATTGTAAGCGAAGTCAACCAGGGAAGGCCTTGCTGCCGGATTTCCTGCCAGCAGAAGCACCTGCGGCCGATAATTTTTGACATGCTCTTCCGTGTTTGATAGCTTTTGCATTGCTTGTAGCGCATTTTTATAGGTGTGAGCTTGTGTAGATGAGCCCCAATTAACGTCTGCAAAATAGTACGGCTCATCAGGAGTTAGAACTTTTCAACTTTGCGATACTGTAACT